ATGTACAGTTCTTTTTCCTAAACACTGATATACTGTCTTTAACTATATCGGTCACGTTTCTGCTGTAGGCCAAGCGGATGTACGGTACAGCAGCACCGGATCTCTTTAATCCTGACCTTCCAACCATTCGAATATTGCTAGATTTCAGGTTTCTAGTACTGGTGATGAAATATATTTCACCGGATCTCTTTAATCCTGACCTTCCAACCATTCGAATATTGCTAGATTTCAGGTTTCTAGTACTGGTGATGAAATATATTTCACCGGATCTCTTTAATCCTGACCTTCCAACCATTCGAATATTGCTAGATTTCAGGATAATATATGTTATCATTTAGATGAATAAATTAGACTGCAAAATATGATGAAACATAACAATAACACTTTTGCACATTATTCTTAGTTAGCCCAATCCGTGTTGAGGACCGTCGATTAGCCCCATAACTTGACATTATATGTATGTAGCAGGTTAACAACTGAATTACAAAAATGTAAAACCAAATACTGATTGTATCACCGTTTCTGGATAAATTCTGGATAATGCAGTGTAATTATCCCTCCGATCTGCTTGAATCGGGTATTGAAACTCGGTCATTATTCATTTTCGTGAAAGTTGTGTTTCCAACGAGACTGTCTGATACATGATTAATGTGTAATTATTCCAGTGTTTGTACTTTAGAAAGTTTTGTGTTATAGTCTTCATACGCGTTAGTTCTTTTACGTCACTTAACTGCCACCTCAAACGAATCAAAGTATTTCGATAATTTTAATTCCCGTAATATTTGCAATTAAAGAGTTGTGTAGAATTTATTGCCCAATGTAATATGTACATGGTAGACGGATTCATCACTTCCTGTATCAGAATAAAATATAGGTGGTAAAGAAATAGATATGAATTAGTTTCTCTGTTTATTCTTGAGTAAAAAATGAGAAATTTTCTTTAATTTTTAACCTGAACGCACACATATCGTTTTCCAGCAATGCAAACAGGTGTATCTCCAAATCGAAATGACAAGAGCGACATCTACAATAGTAAAAGTAGCTTATTACTAATACTTATTTAATTTATTAAATATATTTATTAGAAGATAACTTTTGATTCTTAACTGTAATTTATCATTAGGCTTAGCAATAATCTATAATAATAAAGGACTTGTCTATGGGTCTGTCTGTGTGTGTGTGTGTGACTGCCATAACTCCAAGAGGAAAGAACGTAAAAACCTGAAATTTTGCACACATACTAAGTGGACCCTGAGGGTTTGTACCTGGGTATTGTTACTTATCCACGTGCGTGCGCATCTTTTTTATGAGGCAAGGTAGAGAAAAACCACATAGAAAAAAATATGTGACCACCATATCTCCAAGAAGAAGGAGCCTAGAAACCTGAAATTTTGCACCCGTACTACGTAGACCTTGAGGGTGTGCACCTTGATATTAATACTTAACCACGTGCGTGCATAATGAGGCAAGCTAGATCCCTTATATTACAAATAGAAATCACAGACAGTCTTACAGACACGCACGTGCGTATCTTTTTAGAAGGCAAACTAGCGATAAACCACATATAAAAGAAGTGTGAATATTGTTACCAAGGTTTTGATATATGAATGAAATTCTCTGAGGTACTATCAAGTCAAGAATAATCAACAACATCAGTGGGAACTTTTCGGTGTACCAACAATATCTTCTTAGTTGCCAAGTCAGTGAATATTATTTCTCTCAACAATGGCAGAATCGATTTTTTGTGTAACAATGACAGTTTCTTTTTTCCAAAACACTGATTATACTGTTCCTTTTAACAATATCGGTACTACGTTTTTGGTGCATCAGTAACACTTTCTTAGCTATCTAATAATGACTACAGTTTTTATTAATAACATTCAATATGAATTTTTAATTTATCAGTGCCATTTTAGTTTTGGTTACCAAATCAGTGAACATTGTTTTTCTAAATATCACGATGGGGTGATTAAGTTGGTCATTCAGAATCTATTCTGTCACAATAATTGTATCAAACATTAGTTAATGGTGAATTTTATGTTAAAATAGGTTCAGAATACACACAATGCCAAAGTCATCGAGAAAGAACCTAGAAATCTGAAATTTTGCACCCATACTAAGTGGACCCTGAAGGTGTGCACCTGGGTATTATTACCTATCCAAGCGCGTGCGTGCATGCACCTTTTCAATAAGAAAAGCTAGCAAAAAACCAGAGAGAAAAGAAGTGGCTCCTTATATTACGATTAGAAATCACAGACAGACAGACACGTACGTGTATGTGTGTGCGGGCGGACGTGCGTGCGTGTCTGTGTAGGTGGGACAGTCATAGATCAAAGAGCAAAACCTAGAAATTCTACACCCATATTAAGTGAACCCAGAGGGTGTGCTACCGGGTATTATTACTTAACCATGCGCGTGTGCTTTTTTAATGCGAAAACCCACATATAAAGGAAATGTGACCGCCATATCTCCCAAGAGGAAAGAACATAGGAACCTCAAAATTTGCATCCATACTAAGTGCGTCCTGAGGGTGTGCACCTGGGTATTATTACTTATCTTGTTCGCGTGCATGCGCATCTTTTCAATGTGGCAAGCTAGCGAAAAACTACATAGAAAAGAAGTGGCTCCTTATATTACAAATGATAGATAAAAACCAGAACCATCTACTGAACTTGTGGATATGCCCTTCTAAGTATTAGTTGAAGCTGTGTTTTTAATTTCAAAAGATTATGATCCTAGATATGGTAAATAAATAAACACCCATTTCTTTAGTTGTTTATATTTGGAAACATTTATTGACTGTTCACGTAATCCGTAATAACCCTTAATTGAATTTTAGGTGGAAACAAATTTTTAATCCAAAACGTTTTGATGTGATTAAGTTCTTCCACCAAGCCAGTAAAGGTACTAATTACTATATAATTTATGTAGACTAAGATCCTAATTAAATCAAGCAGAATAAAGCTATCATAGTTGAAGATTAATCCTGTAAAATTATGTAATCATACTTTTACATTTGAAATTCCTATTTTTTTCAATTAATGCATTTAAAATGATAGGTTGTATTCTTCTTGATTTTTTTCTGTAAACATCATGTTCTTATGTTTGCTATTTCAATGTTCTTTCTTATTGAAACTAATGAGCTGTCATCTACATACCTTGAATTATTCAGAACAAATATGTATCCAACGTTTTTCATAGTAACGTAAGGAAAAGATTAGTCAGTGCTAGTGGTAATCCAGACCCCCGGCAACTCCTTCTACCTGATCGCTTATCTATTGATTAAAACAAAAAATGTAATACTGGTGGTAACCCAGACCTTCAGTAGCTACTTCTACCTGATCACATATCTCTTGATTAAACAAAAAATCCAATACTGGTGGTAACCCAGACCTTCAGTAGCTACTTCTACCTGATCACATATCTCTTGATTAAACAAAAAATCCAATACTGGTGGTAACCCAGACCTTCAGTAGCTACTTCTACCTGATCACATATCTCTTGATTAAACAACAAATGTGACACTGGTGGTAATGCAGACCCCTAGTAGCTACTTCTACCTGATAACATATCTCTTGATTAAACAACAAATGTGATACTGGTGGTAACCCAGATTCTATAACAACTCCATTTGTTCATATATTTCTTGATTAAACATACAGTATGATTGTTTTGTTGCTAAGTCCGATAACGTTTTTTTTTTAGAAAATATGTTGATTTTATGTCCTGGTTACAAACCAAGCTATCAACTAAACCTATTGTTTCATCTAGAGATATATTTGTAAATAATGATTGAATATTGAAGTTAGTACAATAAACATTACTTAGAAAATTTTAATTTTGCATTTCTTTAAAAAACTGCCCAATATAGTAAATTTGTTAATATTTAATTAATTAATGTATTATTGGTAAGAGTTGAAGTTAAGGATCATAGGAATTATTTTAATAAATATACTTAAACCTGAATTAAATGAAATAAACAGTGCTACTGGATTACTTATTACAATGGTTCCCAAACTCCTTTAGACTGAGGCTCCCCAACCTATAAGCTTAGCATGGTGATTGAAAAACAGTGCTGTAGTAATAACAATAACATCTTCTTTCGACATACTGTATCATTTAGTTAATTCAATACAATTTTTATTGGTTATTTAGAAAAAGTTTCACGGCCTCCATTGATTTATTATACAAGGGCGATTTAAAGGTCAGATGGGCCTGGAGCTAAATTTCTCTACCGGGCCTATTATGATCGCAACTAAAGACTAAAGTTAAAATAAACACAATTAAACCTCATAACAGGCCTATTTTTGAGCCCGGACCTAGGACTACAGCCCTAATAGTTCCCGCCTTAATCTGTTTCTGATACTAGCAGATGTACCTGTTCAATTCACGGCGAGGGGGTTTATGGAAGTTAACAAATCATTTATATGGCGCATTTATTGATTTTATAGCAGTTGTAGAATTAATGTTTTACCAGTTATTAATGTAAATAGTGTTCCTGTCTTTCTCCTAAATATACCAGTAATGATTGAAAGTATTTAAACGACAGCGGAAGTCACGTGACGGTGCTGGCGCGTTGGCGCTGGTAGCGCATGCGTAAATGAGTTTCGAATTATCAGGGAACTCCTCGATCTTTGTCGAAGCCTCTTTGTTAGTATATAAGCCTGGCAGAGAAAGCCTGCGGGATGATATAGAATGAAGAGATTTCCGGGTAATTTACTATTCTGTTTCGAGCTAGTGTGTGTTTTGTTATCGAGATTGTGAATCGCTCTGATTTATAGTGTGTATTATAAAAGTAGTTAAGTTTAATGTGACGAGAAACGTAGTGATTGTGAAATTACTATGTACTAAAACTGTGTATCGAGAAAGAATAAACTGGTTTAATCAAGAAAGGACTTGTATTGCTGAAGTTCCTCGGAAAGAATTTCTACCGGAAATTAACAAACAAGCAGATACGTAACAATAACTTATTTAATGAATGAGGAAACTGGAAAAATCCCATCAATACGTCTAGTGGCCACCCCCACTAACTGATCTATATTTAGCCAACACTGAAGCTGAAAGACAGAAACAAAACTTCTTCTTGACACATCCCGAATCATTCCTAGTTGATTAAACTATGTTTGAAAGGTCCAAATACAAAAGTCCAGGTGGAGTTAGAGAACAGACAGACAAATTC